TAATATTTATATACTGCCCTATTCCTATAGGCTCTGTGAATTCATCCTGTAAATTTCATGGCAGAGAAGGATATAAAACCTGGCCAGGCCTGATTCCTCTACTGAACTCAAAGTGTGTGTAGGACTGCACCCTTAATCATTCTGATACCTTGCCTGGTTGTGACTTGATGACTTGATGGCTGCAGGAAACCCTATCTGAGGATGTAGTAGGACTAAAAGGACTAACTGCTACTACCAAGGATAAAACAAACCCAGTCTTTTTTATTCTTAAGCTCTCTCAGCCCCATGGGAATGACTGGTCAAGGATCCCACTGGGGCCCCTTATGCTGGGCTTATGTTAGACAACCCTCCTTAAAGCAGCACAGCTGATTACAGATTTTGCTCAGAACACAGCATGTAAAATGGGCATTGAAATAGCATTAGTGTGACCCAAAATTGTGGCGTGCCCCTTGTAAGTTTCTTCTTTTTTCACTCCCAAAGCACACAGCCAGGGTTTTGGTAAAAACAAGGTAAAAGATTTATTAAGGATTCAGGGAAAGTACAGAATGAGGAAAAATTGGTCAGATTCTGAGCAAAACACTAATAGGCAGCTCAAAGTATCAAATCAGCAGCAAAAAACAAAAATGGAAAAGTACAATCTAGTTAGCACAGTTCTGTGCAAACCACCGGACTAGACCTTTGAAGACCCATGAGGTATGTAGTGAAGTTCTTATGCCTGTGTCAGGTCTTCCCCACTTTGGTTTTCAAGAACTGCACATGGGCATCTGTCCCAGAGAAGCCATGTGCTTCCCCAAAGCTCCCCTGTTTCTTGGGAAACTTGCTTGTGGTGCCTCTGCTGCAAGAGAAAGACCCCCCCCCCCCCAAATTTCCTCTTCTAGTGCAATATAACTTTTCTGGTCTCTCCCCTTTTGCCTGAGATTCCAGAAGAATCTCATTTTTTGCTTGTTAACCATTTGCTACTGTCTCATTCCCATCTCTGAGACAGGCTCTAGAAAGCTTAATTGTTGAGGCAACTGGACAGTTTGCTATTTAATAGGCTGAGTAAGTGGCAGCACTTGGCCTAAAGATGACATGGCTTTTCACTTAAGCAGAGACCTGCTGCTGATTGCAGATTTCTGTTTCTTGGACCTGAGTAAGATGGAGTCAGTATGGTATGATGAAGTGAGTCCTTCCAGGCTGGTCATAACAATGGCACCAAATTTTAAACATGTATTTCTTAACTTATGTTTTTCAGCTCCACCCCCCCTCCCCCACACACACAAACACAAGGTGGATGGAAAATAGCTTATGGCTCTCTATTCATCCCTCTCTAACTTGTTGCAAATGCAATGCCTTTCTTGTTCTTTCTTAGCTCCATCTATCATAACCCCATTCTTTGATTATTTCCTGTTGTTCTTCAGAGATGAGTCTACCAAAGAGTAACAACAATTCTTTATCTACTGTCCCCCTACACAGTGCTGTTATAAGTGGTCTACAGACTCCCAACCTAGGTTATCCCTCACTCTTAAAGGAAGTTATAGAGATTGTCCTCCAGCTGCATTCATACCAAATAACCATTGTATATGTGGCTGAAGTTTGCCTTACATGGATAATTCCTTCTGGTAGGTTTGTTGCAAATGCAACAAAGTTTGACAGCAAAATGTTAATTAACATTATAGTTTTTAAATTCCCACCTGGCATGCACTTGATAGTAATGCACAAGGAACACGTAAAATATCCCAGGATGTTATTTGGAGTGGCACTGTTTGCCTTGGGGATGAGTGCTCCCTGTCTTCATTTGAGTATGTTAGGTAATGGTAAAGGTTTCCCCTTGACGTGAAGTCTAGTCATGTCTGACTCTAGGGGGCGGTGTTCATCTCCATTTCCTATCCAAGGGAGCCAGTGTTTATCTGCAGACAGTCTCTGTGGCCATGTGGCCGGCATGAATAAACACTGAAGTGCACGGAACGCTGTTACCTGCCCACCGAAGTGGTACTTTTTTATCTACTTGCATTTGCATGCTTTCGAACTGCAAGGTTGACAGGAGCTGGGACGGAGCAACGGGAACTCACTCCATTGTGCAGATTTGAACCAGCAACCTTCCGATCAACCAGCCAAGCAGCACAGCGGATTAAACCACTGCGACACCTGCAGTCCCTTGAGTATGTTACTTGTCATTAAATAGTCAGTTTTTGCAGCAACAGTATGGGGTTAACTGTCACCTGTTATGTTAGGAAGGTGGTGGGGGAGACTGATTTCTTGAAACTGGCATATGTTGACTGAGGTAGTGTTTAGTTGCATAAGGCTTCTACCAGTTCCAGGAAGCACAGGCCTCTTTTTGTGATGGAACAATTTTCCTGAGGATGCTCTATGGAAACATTTGGACATTTTCAAAGGTGAAGCTTAAATCAGTTTTCCCTTAAATTAGTTTCTAACACAAATCTAAAATCTCATTGGCCATAATGCATATTCAATTTTAAAATGGCTTCCCCCTCCCACTAATTCTGAACCAGATGCTAACATCTTTTATGCATAGAACAAATAGCACAAGAGAGGCTCAGAGTATGATTTCTAGAGACATGTGTGAAATGGTCCTTGGAAATAATATCTGCTTTACCCAAAACTGGATTTTTAATGTATCATGAATACTTCACACAGGGAACACAGGGAAATATTGCATTCATTTTCCTGAATAATCTTTAAAAGCATATTCTTGATGAAAGGAATACAATTTTGAGTGAGGTAAAAGTGGCAGTAAAGAAGTAATGAAATTAAGATAGTGAAGTAGTAAAAAATTGCAAAAGTATAATAAGAACAATGTTTCCAAGATACTATTAAAATGCAAACAATGATCATTCAGTAATTGCTAAGATCTTGATCCTTCGTTCTACCATGAAGAAGCCAAAGAGCACAGGCTTGTGTTCAGAGCTTCAAAATACAAATCAAATGGTCACTCCATCAGTTTGCATTACTGCAGGTCTCGTCTCAGTGTTTTGTGTATCCTCAGTATCAGAATACTGACAAAGTCCACTTAACCATTCACTCATTTAGTATCTGCAATTGTGAAAGCAGTTGCTGTGTTGCCGCCTCCTCCTTGCTTGCCATCCTATAGTGAGGATTGAGCCCTCAGGGACTGAGAAGGCAGATGAGTGACGGCAGCTGATCGGCCGCTGCAGAAACTGCCCTGAGTGGACTGAGGTGCATAGTGTAAAATTCTATAGCACAATTATAGCATTTTTTCCTTTGAACATCAAAACAATCAGAACTCCTGAAAATTTAGAATGTCTTAGCCTGCAATTAGACACTGACTTGAGAGTGATTTTATGTTGTGAAAGGCAGTTTCATGTGTTATCCAGTGTGACTGCCCTTAACTTTCCAAATCTGGATGATTATGGGCATCCAATAGAGGGCAGGAAGCAAACAATGTTTTGGTTGCTCTTCCCACTCTCTAAACACTCACATGGCTGATTTTGGCTGCTTAATACTGCATCATACTTAATGCTTAATACTATTAATACTTAATACTGCATAGAAATGTTATAATAATAATAATAATAATAATAATAATAATAATAATAATAATAATAATAAATCATGAGGAGAGGAGCCAGAGGCACTGCCAGGATCCTTTGTAGGGTTGCATTGCCTTGCTCCTCCCTCCCCCAGTTTCCCCCCACCTCCAAAGTTGGTCTTGCTACCTCTGAGCTGCTGCCAGGATAGCAAAAATTGCATTGGCTGTGAGGGTGGGTAGCTCAAATCTGGAGTTCCAGCTCTGACCTTGGAGTGCTTCTCCGAGGTTGGAGCCAGGACTCCAAATTATCCTGTAGCCCTTTAGACAATGCTTAAAGACTAGTCCTGAGCCCAAAGGGATTGTTCAAAAAATGAGTAAACAAATTCTTGATGTGGAAATTTCTATTTTACGGAGAGCTTTGAAGATGTCCTTTATTTGAAGGGCTGCTCAATGCAGGTCCAGTATGAAAATAAAGTGCCCTGAGAAGGAAGAGTGCAGCCTTGAAGTCGCCTATCAGCAGCACCTGGACAGGAGAATAGCCAAAGCACATCAGTCATGTGGCCAGTCTTCCACTTTGTGGTGAGATGTACTGTTTCTATTACATTGTGATTGTTTCTAAATTTGTATGCATTTAGATAACTTAGCCTGTGCACATTTTATGTGGATAGCTCTCATATTTTATCCTGGTTTTGGGTGCTGTGTGTGCTCCTTTATAGCAGTTTACTGGTATATGCACTATGCCCCTCAGGTCTCCATTTTGGAGCAGTGGTCCATTTTAATAGAAAAACGAATGTATTTCTGCATGTATGGAATCTATTGAATATGCGGAAATGACTACCTTGTCTATAAGATCCATTTAACTGCCAAGTAGTTACAGAACCATCAAGTTCGTTATTGAGCAACGCCTGTAACCGATGTTCTCCGCACTGGTAAGGTAGAGCTCTACTGATAGGGTAGAGGCTGTCTTGATTCCGCGGAGACTTCAGCCACTTTATTGTTCGATTGTATAGAGCGCTGAGACCTCAGTAACAACTATCTTTAGACATAATTTATGGTTGCCTTTTCAAGAGTTTAATGTGGGTATACTGTTACCTCATTTTTAACTGTGTTCGGTACTGTGTACCTTGCGTAAGGGATATTTAATAGGGTGTCATTCACCCTATCGGGAATGCTAGTTTCAACGGGATTTACTTTCAAGTTTATGTTTAAGCTTAGTTGTGTGCGATTCTCCAACGTGTTGTGATTTGGCCTGGTGTGGCGATATCGTGCCACTCTTATTAAGAATCCATGCAATACAGCCAGCCCTTGAAACTAACTAAAAGACAGCTAAACGCTGCGATGGCACAAGCCTTTCAGCACCTGCAGCCTGTTTGGAAAGGCTCGTATTTGGGAGGTGCGCACTGCGAGGCGTCGCCCAGGCTACAGCGTTCTGCTCGCTAGGCCCGAGCCTGGCGCTCGCTCAAGTTTCTGCTCTCTGCGTCGGAGCAGCCCGCTTTCCGGAGAAGGCGGGGACCCGCGCCGGCCTAGGGAAGTCCGGCTGAGAGCAGCGTGGCGGCGGGAACGGCCGCGATGCAGCCCGAGCGTGGCAGCAAGCCCCAAAGGGAAGGGGCCCGGCAAAATCGGAGGCGGCCCGGCGGCAGGGAAAAACAGGCAGAAGTCGCTGGAGGTAGCGGCGAGGCTGGCCACCACCGAGGAGGCGGGAGCCGCGGCAGAGGGGGAAGAGGCGGGGGGCACGGCAGGCGAGACGCTCGTGGCCGAGGAGCCGCCGCGCCTCCCTCCGCTTCTCGATGTGATCAGTCGGTAAGAAAAAAGGAACCCGTCCGGGTTGGTTTTCCCCGAGGCGGAGCTAAAGGCTCTCCTCTTGCTTCGCGCGCCCCATCCACTGAGGGCGCCCCGTGCGCACCTCCAGCAGTAGTGGTAGGAAGTTTCGAGGCTGTGGTACGAGGTTGAAGCATTTCCTCTGACGCACCGCTGAGGCAGTTGCGTCGTCACCACTATTTTTAAACCATTAGCTGTCAGAGTCTGATAGGTTCTCGTGAGTCTCACTGCATTTAGTCGCTCGCTATTTTCTGTAGGAGTAGTCTTTGTTGATGAGCTGTTGTTGCATCAAAGACAACATCTAGAAGTGGCATTTCTAACAGATGTATTGTGACATACGGTTTTATGGTGTAGGGTTCACTCTCGGATGTGTAAAGCAGCCCATGGTAGCTGGGAATAATGTGTGTTGTAGCATAAAACTCCTAGAAGGCATTAGATTGGGGTAGTCTCAACTACAGTAATCACTCATTAGATCATATATACCCATGGACATCAGAAAAACAGGTATCTATAGTAAACACTGGCACTACAGGTCATGAAAAGGATGATAGTGGGTATGTGATATTTCTAGCTATCTTTGTCTTACAGTGAAGACTTAAGGCTGCAGTCTTAAAGTCACTAGGGATTAAATCCCTTGAAAGCTCTCTGGCTTCCCTCTGAGTATACATGTACAGGATTACACCACACATTCACAGTGTCCCCATCTTTCTCCCTACTGGGATAGAATTGCACAAAAAGTATGTTCTAGGGTAGGATAATTAGATTCTACCTCTTTTGAGCAGAAATGCTGTTAGTTGCCTATGTTTGTTGACTCTGGATGTATAAAATGAACCAATGCATGACTAAACAGGATTGTGTTTAAACTGGGTTGCCAGCTGCTCTGTATGCACCAAGCTCATGAATACTTGATGTACTAACACTGCACACCCAGTAACTGATAACCCAGTTTAAATAGTATATCTGCAGCATGCAACTCTATATGGGTAGGTTTGGTTTATACATCAGGCATCATGTTTAAATTGGGCATAAAGCTGAGAGAGGTTTTCACAAAAAGATCTAAAGGCAGATAATATTTCCTTTGCTCATTTGCTTGTTCCAACACTGTATGGGTATACTTAGGGATCTTAATGTATAAGTACTGTATGGGTGTACTTACCTGGTGCAACAGCTTTTTAAATGATGGCAACCCTAAAGGCAATGCATTACCTCAGAAGAAGCATGGGATGGAATATCAGGTGATACACAGCATATTGAGGCCTACATGTTGTTGTGTGCTGTCAAATCATCTCCAATTTAACGTGACCTTATGAGTGAAAACCCTCCAAAATTTCCTATCCATTCCAAACCTGCTTAACTAGTCTAAATTCAAGACTGTTTCTGGAGTCAATCCATCTCTTATTTCATCTTCCTTTTCTTTTCTGATGTTTGACTTTCCCTTTTCATGATACGTACAACAGCCTCAGCTTTGTCATTTTTGCTTCTAGGGAAAGCTCTGGCTTGATTTGAGCTATGATTCAATTGCTCATCTTTCCCTTGGTCCAGGATATTTTCAAAGCTCTTCTTCAGAACCATGTTTGAATGTATCCGTTTTCTTCCTGTCAAGGCCTACGTACTAAGGCCTTATTCTTAGTTTGTATGGCAGCTGGAAGATGAACATACATGTAGGCACTCTTCTCTTGTGTATGCCATAAAATAACATCAACTCAAAATGATAGCACAGTGTGCATGCATTTTCCTTCACAGGACACAGTCTTGACAGCAGGTGCATGTCCTACAAGTACAGCTATATGTGACAATTGAGTAAAAATGAATGTGAAAGCAGCAGATGCACAAATAGCAAAATAACATATAGACAGTATTTTTTAAAATTTACAGTCTCTAATGCTGGTAAAGAAAGTGAAAGTCAATAGGGTTCTGGCTTCATAAATTGTTTCATATTTTTGAGTTTGATTTATAACACATTACCTGGTTAAACATTCCAGGTTATCATGCTTTACATGGGTCTGACTGTGTAATTAAGAGTTTTGATAATATTTAACCCCATATGGATTGACATTGCTCTGTTCCATAATATTTTCACAATATTTTGCATTTACACTTGCTTTACTGAACAGAGTAAATTCCATTTAGTGCAGGATTCTGTTAGCAATGCATGTGGAAGCTCTCGGCTTACGATGGTTTTCCTTTGTGCTGAGATTCAGTGGTGCACTCCTCTGAACATGGTGGCCCCAGTCAGCTATAATGGTTAATAGATATTAATTCATTTTCTATTAACTTATTTAATCATAAAAGAACATAGTAAAGATGCACCTTCCTTCAACCTGTGAGTAGCCATTGCAGCAGGACTGGTATGACAACCACAGCTTTATAGAGCAGCAAGTGACTTCTCACAAACCATTGCAGCCATTCTTATTTAAATGAGAAACTATTTGGTTATATTTGAGTGGCATTAATGAATATCAGTTTACTTTTACCAAGTGATAATTAAAGATTATGGAAGGGTGATATAGTTGCTGTGGATTAAATATTGTATCTTTTCTTTAGAAAGCTATCATAAATGTTTTATCAGAATAAAATAGAATTACATAATATATTACAGGTAATTTGAAATGCTAGATTGTTTGCTATAACTCTTGTGAAGATTGGAGATAAATTATTTAATTTGCTTTTAATCTGTAGTATCATTGTTTCTCATACTGATGTTTTATTTCATTAACTTCTGGATTGTGATAGCCTTTGGTTGCAATTTTCAGCAGTTTCTTTTATCCCAGGCTATCATAATCATGCATTTTTCAGGTACATTTCTCAAGATCGTTGAATTCACAAACTAAGAAATTTGCATACCGCGTTTATATTGATGTCATCAAACCATACTTGTCTGAGATGATTCACTTATTTTTAATGTTCAGTCCATGAAAAGTTTACTCTTTGTCCTAAGAATCTAAACTTAGATTGGAGGTGGGGAATTGGGGAAAAGGAAGGTTAAAAGTCATTTCAGAAATTGATGCTGGGATCCATACTTAAATTTCAGTAGTGGTCCTCTGGTGATAGAAGGTCACATGGAGAAAGATGGAAGGTCTTTTCTCTTCCCCTCCCACCACCTAGGACACTCCTGGGATTTGCAATAACCTTTGACAAAAAGCTGATAATATCTGTAGCACTTTGGAAAACTTGACTTGTAAGAAGCTACCTGTGCCATTGCCTCCTAGAACTGTAGATAAAAGGTTGGAGGGATTTCCATTATTTTCTTTTCTCTATGGCTTGTTGCATATGCTTGTTTTGAGAACAAAAAATGGAAAGTAATATCTATGCTTTGGACATAAATGAATATTTGAGATAATTTCCCCCATTGAGCAGCTATTCACCATTAAGAGTATAATGCATACATCCACAGTGTGTTCACCACACCTCTGCTTAAAGATCTCATTAGATCGGTGTTAGCTGATACATGTATATGCTATATGTTTGTTTGTGTGTGTGTATGTATATATGCAAGTGGATTGATTGTTTGTATTGATGGTTTTATCATATTGTGATGACGATGATTTTAAGACAATGCAGTAAAAGTGCTACACTCAATATGCCAGCAAATTGGGAAAACTCAGCAGTGGCCACAGTATTGGAAAAGGTCAGTTTACATTCCAATTCCAAAGAAGGGCAATGCCAAAGAATGTTCAAACTACCGCACCATTGCACTCATTTCACATGCTAACAATGTTATGCTCAAAATTCTACAAGCTAGTCTTCAGCAGTATGTGGACCGAGAACTACCAGAAGTACAGGCAGGATTTCGAAGAGCCAGAGGTACTAGAGATCAAATTGTCAACATACGCTGGATCATGGAGAAAGCTAGGGAGTTCCAGAAAAACATCTACTTCTGCTTCATTGACTATGCTAAAGCCTTTGATTGTGTGGATCACAGCAAATTGTGGCAAGTTCTTAAAGAGATGGGAGTACCAGACCATCTTATTTGTCTCTTGAGAAACCAAATGCGGGTCAAGAAGCAACAGTGAGAACTGGACATGGAACCACTGATTGGTTCCAAATTGAGCAAGGAGTTCGGCAAGGCTGTATACTGTTGCCCTGCCTATTTAACTTATATGCAGAGCGCATCATGAGAAAGGCGGGCCTAGATGAATCACCAGTTGGAATTAAGATTGCTGGGAGAAATATAAACAACCTCAGATATGCAGATGATACCTCTCTAATGGCAGAAAGTGAAGAGGAACTAAAGAGCCTCTTGATGTGGGTGAAGGAGGAGAGCGCAAAAGTTGGCTTGAAACTTAACATCAAGAAAACTAAGATCATGGCATCCGGTCCTCTCACTTCCTGGCAAATAGATGGGGAAGAAGTGGAGGTAGTGACAGATTTTATTTTCCTGGGCTCCAAGATCACCACAGATGGGTACTGGAGCCAAGAAATTAAAAGATGCTTGCTTCTGGGGAGGAAAGCTATGGCAAATCTAGACAGCATACTAAAAAGCAGAGACATAGAAACAGAGAAACAGAGTGAGTCAGAAGGGTCTCCCAGGCCATCTAGTCTGACCTCCGGCACCAGCCGGCTCCTCTCATGACATGCCCACCAACAACATCACCCTGCCAACAAAAGTGTGTATAGTCAAGGCTATGGTTTTCCCAGTTGCAAATGTATGGCTGTGAAAGTTGGACCATAAGGAAGGCTGAGTGCTGAAGAATTGAAGCCTTTGAAGCCTTTGAGATTAATGCAGATGGCTTTAAAAGAGGATTAGGCAGAATAGGAGATATTAATGGCTGCTAGTCATGGTGATGGTATCTTCCAGGTTCAAAGGTAGTTTGCCTCAGTATGCCAGTTGTTGGGGAATATATCCTGCTGTTGGCTTCCCACAGACATATAACTAGCTCTGTGTGAATAGATTGCTGGAACTAGATTTACCTTAGGTCTGATCCAGCATGGCTCTTGTTATGCAGTTTCTTCCATTTACACGTCTAGCCCACTTTGCTAGT